TCTTATTATCTTATTTATTTATTAAGTACTTATTATCAATGAAATCAGAAAAAAAATAAGAGAGACAGAACTAACTTATTATAAGGAAAAATGTAAAGAGATAGAGGATCTTCAGAACAAATACGACCTATTCAACATACATAAAAAGGTTAAAGAAATGGCAGGGCTGCAAAAAAGAAACCACAACACAACTCTTTTAGACAAAAATGGAAACACTATGATAACGAGTGACAAAAAACTAAAACGATGGAAAGAGTATATGGAAGAGCTCTTCGACGACGAAAGAGGAAACCTACAAGACTCGTCTTTTGAGGACAGAGAAACAAGTATAGAAATTACAAAGGAAGAAGTACTGTATGCACTAAAGGACACCAGAAACGGAAAAAGCCCAGGGCCAGATCAACTGCCTATTGATATCCTTAAAATAATAGAAAATGAATACATTAATGTCCTCTTAAAGCTTTTTAATAAAATTTATCAATCGGGTGACATTCCCAACGAATGGTTGATTTCAACATTCATTTCTCTCCCAAAAAAGAAAAATGCTAGAAAATGCACCGACCACCGTACCATAAGCCTGATGTCTCACACACTTAATTTGTTTTTAAAGATAATTCATAAACACATTTACTAAACACTTGATATGGATATTGAAGAAACTCAATTTGGATTCCGTAATGGCGTAGGTACCCGTGAAGCTCTCTTTGCATTCAACGTACTAATCCAGAGATGCTTGGATGTGAACCAAGATATGTACGTCTGTTTCATAGACTACAACAAAGCTTTCCACAAAGTCCGCCACAAAGAGCTAATGAACATCCTCAAAGCAAAACAACTACAAACCAATGACCTTCGAATTATAACAAATCTATATTATAAACAGCAGGTACACGTATGCATTAATGAACACACATCAGAAGAAGTCGAAGTTAAAAGAGGAGTGCGACAGGGGTGTGTATTGTCACCACTACTATTTAATGCATACTCTGAAGAAATTATGAAAAGAGCTCTTGAGGGAGAAACAGCAGGAATCAAGGTCAATGGAACATCAATTAACCACATTAGATATGCGGACGATACTATCATAATAGCAGACAACCTACAAGACCTCCAAAAGCTAATGAAGAAGATAGTTGAGTATGGAGAAGAATATGGATTATCAATAAACACCAAGAAAACCAAATTTATGAGGATATCAAAAACCCAAAATAATGGTGAAAGCTTGACAATTAACGGTAGTGCTTTAGAACAAGTTGAAAACTACCACTATCTTGGCACAATAATTAATCACACAAACGATTACTCCAAAGAAATCAAAGTTCGAATGGAGAAAGCACGTACAAACTTCAATAAAATGAGAAAGGTACTTTGTGCAAGAGAACTAAAATTGGACTTGAGAGTTAGGCTGGCAAGATGTTATATTTTCTCGACTCTGCTTTATGGGATGGAAGCATGGACACTTAACGCGTCGACTGCTAAAAAGTTGGAAGCATTTGAAATGTGGGTGTATAGAAGAATCCTGAAGATATCATGGACAGAGCATATAACAAACAACGAAGTCATAAGAAGAATCAACAAAAGAATGGAAGTATTGGAAACCATCATGACACGAAAGCTGCAATACCTGGGGCATGTTATGCGTAATGAGAGATACAACCTACTTCAATTGATTATATAAGAGAAAATCCAGGGCAAGAGAAGTGTAGGAAGAAGAAGAATCTCATGGTTGCGTAACTTGAGGGAATGGCACGGATGCACATCAATTGAACTATTCAGAGCAGCAACATCTAAGATCAGAATAGCCATGATGATTGCCAACCTCCGTCGCGGAAATGGCACGTGAAGAAGAAGAAGTACTTAAATGGCACTCCTAGAATAATAAATAAAAACTAACACAATATTCACCATGAGTGTGGGTTTATTTTCAAAATGTGCGAGATCTAAGAACTAAGCTTGACAGTTTATTTATGAATGTATCCTATTCTCATTACAGTATTATCATATTCAACGAGACTTGGTTGTCATGTAACTATGCTAATGAAGAGCTGCAGTTGTTTGACGTCAACATATAGAGAACTGGTCGCTCCAGTGAAACAATTTCCTTCTCAAGGTTCTGATTGCAGTTCATAGGAGCTTTAGTAGTAGATCTTAAACAGTTAACCAGACAATTGAACAACTTTTTGTCTTGGTGACTGAAGGTGCAAATCAGTTTATTATATTAACAACATATTTTTCACCAAAGTCTACATTTGAAAAATATTCCATATTTTGTGAAACTTTAGAACAAATAGCTGAAGTTTATCAATCTGCACACTATTATCTGGCTGCTGACTTCAATTTTCCAAACTGTGAATGGTTTTCAAATGACATGTGCTCTACAGTAATTCCTCTACCAGCTGCCACAGCATCTGAAGTTAAAGCCCTGCAGGTTGTGTCTGGTATTTGTGCATACAACAATTTATTTCAGACCAGCACATTTGGTGCTGGTTGATGATGCTGATTTAACTGTGTCCAGGGCAGATGAAGCTCTTTTGAGGAAGAATATGTACCACTCACCCCTGGAATTTGAGATAAAGATGACCAACAGGTGTCCCAATAATGATGGTTTTGTTAGTGATGGATTCTATAGGGACTTTAAGTCAGCTGACTATGTGAAAATAACTGATTTACTATCACAGCTCTATTGGGATAATTTATTTTTAGGAAAACCACTGAATCAAATTGTGAATATACTTTATGATACAGTTTACTTAGCTATAGAATTATTTATTCCCCTAAAAAGGTATTCAAAACGTAGATTCCCTTCTTGGTTCTCTCCAGAGTTGAAGGACCTGATAGTTGAGAAGAAGAAAGCCCACAATAAATATCTTTTATCTAAATTACTTCTGGATTATCGAACTTTTTCTCGACTGCGGTCCAACTGTAAATTGTTAAAAGCTGAAGATTACAGAAATCATATTTATTTAACTGCTGTGTTATCCAGTTACGGACCAGATATTGTAAATCCTTTTGCAGAATATTTTTCTACAGTTTAATCCACTCAAACATGTAACATACCGAGTGATTTACCTTCACTTGGTCTTACTAACTTGACTGGTTTCACCATAACTATATCTGACATTTAAAATTATCAGAACTGGATGTAAATTAGGGTCCTGATCCTGATGGATTGTTTCCCAGTCCCAGCTGTCTCAAGAATTGTTGTTTTATATTATCTAGACCTCTTTTTCACATATTTAGTCTGTCCTCAAATAAGGGTGAATTTCTAGAATGCTGGAAAAATAGTTGTTAACACCTATTTTTAAAGCGGAAGATAATTCATTTATGAATAATTACAGGCCCATTAGTATAATTAATGTATTTCCAAAGATATTTGAAAGTTTTGTATTTGACTATCTTAAAGCTTCACTTGCATAACAGCTAACACCAACAATTTGGATTTCGGAATAGCAGATCAACTGAATGTAATATACTAGTGTTTGTGGACTTCTTGAGGAAGGCCATGACGAGGGGCTGTAGGGTACATGCACTATACACTGATTTCTCCAGGTCATTTGATCGGGCCAACCATAATATTTTAATATTTCAACTTAAAAAAATGGGTTTTGATGGGCCACTTCTTAGATGATGCGTATCATATATTTTGTTTCCAGTGAGATTAAGGTTTATTCAGGAATACTCCAGGGTTCTAATTTGGGATTCCTGTCATTTAACATATTTATCAATGATATATACCACTGCTTTCAGTACAGTTCACCTCTTCCTTTTTCGGACGATCTAAAGTTCTACACAATTATCAATAATACAGAAGATTGTGTTAATCTTCAACACGATGTCGATCGGTTGAGTGAGTGGTTTGTGTTGAATGCCATGGTCCTGAATGTATCCAAGTGTCATGCTGTTTCGTTTGAAAGATCGGGAGACCCAATGGAATATAATTATAATATACAGAACATTCCTGTTGATTGGGTTACCAAAATTCGTGATCTGGAAATTAATTTAGATTTTAAAATTTTATTTGAATTGCATTATATATCAATAATTATATGTCTTTGAAATACTTGGCTTAGAATAAATATATGATGACGATAAATGAATTGATAGAGAGTCACTGTTTGATGTGGTCGATGTGAAAACCTTCTATCTCGTAACGCTACCCCTGACGCCTTCTTCAGACGATAACCTAATGTCTATCTGATTAAAAGGGAAACTGGGGAAAATAAGGAGCAAGTTGGACACTATGAACAGTGAATGTGGCATTATATTGAATAAAAAAAGACATCATAATAATAGACAGCAATCTGTCCAATATCAGAACTATTGCTGATTTTAAAGTGGTCGACAAGGTTTAACCACCTTGAATTCATTACTATAAACAGATAAGGCAACCACCAAGAAATATATAGCGAGAAGAATAGACAGCATAGAAAAACTGATTGCGAAATATAAAATTAATGGAAAACTATCACGTGAAAGATCTTCCATACGATGGTGCAATCGTGTCAGAGGAATTATTAGCTGTGCTCTGCAGGAAACTTCCCTAGGCGCCCAAAACATAGAAGGATAAAAAATCCACGATCCTAGTGATCGAGACAGGTTATCATTATACTCTTCCAAAAGTTACAGGCCAAAGAACAACAAGCTTTTGCGTGTCTTTCTTCTAGTGTTCTGGCTATTGTTGATTTTTTGCTTCATAGTCACCCAATATACTTCATTCATATAAGTAAAGATCACTACCAATTTACTCCTATCGTTTTTTCTAACCGCCTCCAAGCTTCTCCACAGCTTGTAATTTCATTAATAATTTCATTAAAATCTTTGCGTGGTAAATGTTAACAAATAGTTAATTTATTATTTTTTTAGGCATTGATTTTATTTTTAGAGTCAAAGTATCACAAGATTAGGATATATAACATGACATTATATTTGAATCATTCATAATTTAAAAAGATGCACTGAAATCTCTTAAAATGTCATAATATTCTTAAGTGTCAATTTTTATTTAAAAAAAATAATGACAGACGAATCAGCTCTAGCAATTTCAGAACGAGAAGAACTCGAACCAGAACTTCCTCCACCACCACCGATAACTTTAAAGGAAGTTTTTGTACAAGAACATGAAGATAGTCCTGATTCGTCTATTTCTGGGTAAGTTCTTTAAAACATTTGTTTACTTTGTTTTAGTGGTCTCCAGTCGCCAAATAAAGTTCACATCTAGCTGATTAAACTTACAGATGAATACAATTTAAGCGCAATAACTATCCTCTTCAACAACATGTACAAATCTGGTGAGATACCTACAGAATGGCTACTATTAAGCTTGGTTTTGCTACCAAAAACCAAAAATCCCCAACACTGTAATGATTATAGATTAATCAGCTTAATGTTACAATGATTGAAAACATTTTTACAGGTTATACATGGAAGAATATTCAGAAAGTAAGAAGCGGATATGAGTAACAGACAGTTTGGCTGTTGTAATGGCTTCGGAACTGTAGAAGCTATGTATAGTTTCACAGTTATTGCTCACAAATGTCGAGACCAACAAAAATATATTTTTATCGCATTTATAGACTATGAGAAATCTTTTGACAAAGTTAAACATAACATTCTCATAGAATGTCTAAAGCGAAAAGGACTTAACAAAAATGATATTAACACAGTGAGTATTGAAACCAACAGGCTGAGGTAACATTAGATGGAAATATCACGAATACGCAACAGATAAGTAGAGGTGTGAGACAAGGCTATGTACTTTCACCATTACTATTAAATATATACTCCGAAGAGGTATTTACACAAAAACTTAAAATCTGTATAGAAAAGATCAAGATAAATGGTGAAAATATAAATAACATTTGTTATGCCGACGACACAGTCATTATCGCTGAAAGTGAGAAAGACCTGCAAACGCTACTAAACACAATTTGTGATACTGATGAACAGTTTGGTTTAACAATAAACAGCAATCAAAGAGCCATCCACAGCATTATTATGGAAGATGTAGAAATTTTTGAGTAACTAAAGTCCTAATCTGCAAATCCGATATCGTATGATAAAATGTTATATCCACTCTATTCTTTTTTATGGTGCCGAAATTTCGACTGTTAATGTTGACCTGGTGAGAAATCTGAAAGGTTTTGAGATGTTATTTTTAGAAAAATTTTGAAAATTGATTTTGAAATGATGTTGCACAGAATGGTAAGAGACAGCGAACTTTTAATAACCATAAAAGTAGAAAGATATCATATTTGGGACACATACTGCGCAATGAGAAGTACATACGAGTTGTTGCAGCTGATTATGAAGGGTAAAATCAAAGCAAAAAGGGGTACCGGTAGAGAACAAATATCCCGACAGAACATTTGCAACTGAACCAGGTTAAGCACGCATACGCTTTTAAGAAAAACAGAAGATAGAGACAAATTTGTAATAATTATCTTCTTCTTCTTCTTAGTCGTTAACCTGATGCAGGTATCGTGATATCATGAAGCTGTTAGGTAATTTTTCCAATGTTCCTCCACGTTTTTCTATCTTCTGCCAATCTAGCACATTCCGACAATGGAGCGCCAATGGTAGCAACAATATGGTCCGTGTATCGTGTAGGAGATCTACCTCTACTTCTTTTGCCTTCTACTTTTCCCTGGATGGTAAGTTTTTCAAGACCATTTCTTCGAAGCACATGTCCAAAATAGCTTATTATCTGTTCTGTTATTTGTGTTCTTAGTCTTTTCTTTATGTTTAGCTGGACCAGTATGGATTCATTTGTTCTTCGGGCCACCCATGGTATTCTCAGCATTCGTCTCCAACAGTACATCTCAAATATATCTATGTTCTTTTTGTCTTTCTCAGTAAGGGTCCAGCATTCCGATGCATAAGTAAAAACTGGAAAAACTAGACTTCTTATTGTTGTTAGCTCTGTCAATTATCATGATTCTCGTTTTATCCCTGTTTATTTTAAGGCCCATCGTTAAGCTTACGTCTTCTATCTGTTGTAGCAGGTGAATCAATTCAGTTTCAGAACTAGCGAGGATAGTAGTATCATCTGCATATCTCAAGTTGCAAATCTTCTTCCCGCCAATGGTGATGCCACCGTTCCAGTCCTCAGTAGCTTTCCGCATTATCCATTCACCATAGATGTTAAATAAAATTGGGCTTAGTATGCAGCCTTGTCTCACGCCCTTTGTGACCCTGAAACTGTCAGTTAGTTCCCCATTTATTCTAACTCTGGCATAATTGTTATTGTACAGGCTTTTAATTAGCAGTATTAGATGATTAGGGACTCCCATTTCAGACAAAACCTGCCACATTTTACTCCAGTTGACCTATGAAGCACAAATATGTTGTGATGTTGAATTCTCTGGATTTTTCTACAATCTGCCGTACGTTTAAAATTTGTTCTCTAGTACCACGTCCTGGGACGAAACCTGCTTGTTCCTCCGCAATGTTAGGTAGTAAAAAGGGCTTTATCCTCTCGAGAATTATGTGTAAGAGTATCTTACTGCAATGCGCAATTAGAGCAATTGTGCGATAGTTGCTACATAAATCTTTCGCTCCCTTTTTATGTATGGGAATATATAGTGATTGTGTCCAGTCCTCAGGCCATTTACCTGTCTCCCACACTCTTTGACAAATTTGATGTATTATATCCACTCCAACGTCATCTAGGGCCCAAATCATTTCAATAGGTATGTTAGCTGAACCGGCAGCTTTTTGACTTTTTTGCCTCATAATTGCTGCTTCAACTTCACTTTTGAGTACGTCAGGTTCCGTCGCAAAACTGGCATCTTCTTGTTGTGATGGGGCGTCTGTGCTTTCCTCCATCATCAGTCGTCCACAGTATTCTTTCCATCTGTGTAAAATATCTTTTTTAGAAGTGAGTAGAGTTCCGTTATCATCTTTGATAGCAGGGTAGTTTGGTGTAAAGTAACGTGTTATCTGCTTTATTTTTTTAAACATGTCTCTGGTCTCAGTTTTGGTTTTATGCCCTTCTATTTCCATGCAGATTTTGTTCAAGTGTGTGTTCTTGTCCTTTTTGCAGAGTCGTTTTATTTGACCGTTTAGCGCTTTATAGGCCTCTTTATCACTTTCACTGTTCAGTCCTGTGGCTTTTAAGCACTTCCTCTCCTGTATTTTAGTCCACGTGGAGTCCGTTATCCATTGTTTCCTTCTTTCTTCTCTATCACTCTTAATATTTTTCGCAGCATTATGCAATATGGATTTTGTTTTTGTCCATATGCTGTTTGAGGACTCGTCTGGATTTAATGATTGTTTGAGGTCACATAGCTTTTGCATTGCGGCTTTTTTGTACGGATCGTTATATCTTAGATGCCATTTAGTTGTATTTCCTGTTTTTGGACTGTTTCTTAACTTCATGCGGAATTCAGCTGATAAAAATTGATGGTCGCTATTACAATCTTTTCCTGGATAGGTCTTAACATCCTTAACAGCGCTCCTCCAACGGGTTTTTACCAGTATAAAATCTATCTGATTTCTGTATCTATTTCCTGGTGATATCCAAGTGTATAGTCGTCTTGGGTGATGTTGAAAACCTGTATTAGTAACAAACAGGTTGTTGTCTACACAAAAGTGTAGCAAGCGTTCTCCTCTGTCATTTCTTTGGCCAAGTCCATATAATCCGACGGTCTCTCGCAAGTAATGATCTTCTGTAGTTACACCAATTTTAGCGTTGAAATCGCCTACGACTGCTGTGATTTCTCTATTTGGAAGCTTCCTAAGCGTCTGCTCCAACGTACTATAAAATGTTTCGATTTCTTCATCGTGAGCTTCGCTTGTTGGGGCATATGTTTGTACCACATTAAGATTAACTGCAATAATTATAGCTAATCTTTATTAGTGGCGTCTTCACTAGAAGAAGAAGAAGAAGAAGTGGTCTCCAAAATATAAAGAAAATCTTCGTTTTGCTATACAATAAGTAATCTATTCGCTAAAATCAACAATACTATTTGCCTAATAGTAAAGATGAAGGCATAATAACAACATTGTTTACAAAAATATTGCAAAAAGTAGGAATTACGCCGAATAATAAAAAACAGATGACACATGAAGATTTACGATCTTGAAGTGGAACTGGACATGGTTCACATTTTCAAGGTTGTCTTATAACCGATGGATATAATACCTACATCTTTTCAGGAACAGAGGTATTTCACCTACAAGGTGGTTTGACGATATAAAATAAAAATACGTTAATACACATCAGAAATAGTCGTCACCCGGCTACTCAATCTTCTTTCTTTGTCCGAACTTTCTATTATATTTTATAAGTGACTCAATCCACAAACTAACCCAGGCGGACTTAAATTTACATTACAAAATTATTTAAAATATCTAATACATTTCTTATATAATATTTAAGCATCTTCTGTTTTTAAGATCCGACGAAGAAAGAAAAACAGACAAACCCAGAGCTGATATACCTCCCGAATACTGGCACATACAAAAATTAATTAAATATTTAAAAACTGGCAATCAAACGGCTACGGTGGTTGCATTATGCTGTTTAAGAGACCACGACTTGACTACAGAAACCAGTCAGCTTGCAATCCAAGTAAAGTATCGTTGTTATATTTATCTAGACTCATCAAAAATGTCTAAGGAACACCATAATTATTCCACTCTTTTCAATAAAAACTTAAAACTTTTTTGTTACCTAATACATAATACCATGCGACAGCGCCCAAAGTAAAGAAATAGTGTTTCAAATTTTAAAGATGGTCTTTAGATTCTTTAAAATTTTACTAAAACAAGATTATTAAATGAGCGTCGGCATTTAACATACTCAAAAGGAAAGTGCTGTAAAAATGATTCAGGCTGATCTTTCACAAGCTGATGTTGCACACGTCACTTTGACGTGTCTCGGAGCGTGATTTCTCGATTGTGGTGTTGATATGAACTCTCTCTTTATAACGATTCCCTATATAATGATAATTCCCCTATAACGATGAAAATAGTAAATGTTGTTTGGTTCGTCATAAGGACAATGTGTTAATTCTTTCTCTATACCGATATCGTCCTCTCTTTATAGCGATGACTTTTTAGCGTTCAATAGTCGATGGCAAATGTGTTATTGTGTTTGAAACCCAGATTACCTGAGTCACGAGTGTCAAGATCATTCTCCAGCGGTTTCGTTTCGCGTTTAAGGAGTACTCATTGTAATCCAAAAGATGAGTGACACGCTGCGTGCCACTTATTGTTCGCGCGGCGTGCCTAACTATTTTCGCACAGATGTTGTAATCTATTGATGACTTCTTACTTTAGTTTCAGTTGTATCTCAGTGTGTGAATAGTCAACATGTTTTCGAAAAAGCGTAAAGTTCTCTTGATGGAAAAAAAGTTATTGATAGCTCGGGCAGTAGAGAAAAGTAAAGAGCAATTGGATGTCGTTCCCTGTACGGAGCTGTCTCAGTCAATTGTGGCTGCGATACGGAAGGACAGAAGAAAGTAGCTTGAAGCAGTGATGGACGGCGCTAGCAGGAGAAAGTTGCGGAAATCTCCACGCGAAGATTTAGATCGCGCTATATTTCAGTGATTCCAGCAGCAGAGTATGAACCATATTCCACTTTGTGGGCCTGTGGCTAGGACAAGAGCTCAGTTTTTTACAACTGAGCTTGAAATTGAGAATTTCAAAGCATTTTGGGGTTAGCTGAAGCTGTGGCATAAGATCAACTACGGGCAGATCAGCGGAGAGGCTCACGATGTTAACAAAAACGTAACGGATGATTGGCTAGAAAACGTATAGCCTGTACTGAAGGCACGATATGTATCAGACGACATTTTCAATGCTAATGAGACTGGATTGTGTTTTAAAATGATACAAAACGAAACTTTAAAATTTTAATCGGAAAAGAGCATTGGTAGAACGCTCTCTAAGGAACGCATTGCGGTTTTAGTTGTCGCTAAAATAACAGGTTTAATGAAGAGAAAATTGTTAGTGATAGGGACGTCAAACAACCTACTTTACTTTAAAACATCAAAAATCTACCTGCGGTCTAGATAACAAACAAGATTGCGTGGATGACTTCGGAAATTTTTAGAGAAGCTATTAGAAAATGAAATCTTAAGCTTAAAAAGAAAAATTCTTCTGCTTGTAGACAATTGTCCTGCTCATCCTGTACTTTGCGACCTTGAACACATGGAACCTTGTCTCCTACCAGCAAACACAACGAATATTCTTCAGTCCATTGACCAAAGGGTCATCAATAGTTTGAAAAACCATTACAGGAAAAGATTTTTGATGGAATTGGTTGAGAACAATGGCGCTCTCAAACTAAACGGTCTTGACGCCATCCTAATGATTAGTAAATCCTGAGACGAGGTGACGAGCAATACGATAAAACATTCCTTCAAACACGCACGATGGCTGGAAACTCAAGGATTGACTGAGGATAAAAATAACCTGTCGTTAGTTGTTTGGGCTAGGCAGTTTGAACTTTCTAAAACCTACGGACCGGAGGACCTGACAGATTTCAAAGAAGTTAATCAAAACGTATCTGCATCTGAATTTTCTGACGAGGACATCCTACAAGTAGTTCGTGTAGAAAAAGAAGAAAACAGTGACCCGGAAGTGGAAGCCCTGCCAGAATCAGCTCCGACCACTCAGCAGGCATTGGAAGCAGGAAAAGTATTTCATCGGGTTTTGAACCACTATGAAGACGATACGAGTACTGTGGAAGATTCTATGCATCTTCAGGACGAGGTCAGGTTAGTTCTGTGGAAAGGGAAATGGAAACAGACAAAGGTGACAGACTTTTTGTTTATGTAGGGTAAATATAAATATAGGATGTAATCTTTTTTCATACCTTGATGAGCATACTGTATGTACAGTACCATATTATTTTGTTACTGTACAGTATAAATTTTTTAATTGTACAGTCTTTTTTATACTGTATTGCTTATATCATTGTTTAAATAAATCTATGTTGTGTACGGTATATACAGTGTTAAGTCATTTATAATCATTTTTATCAATTTTTTTAATTATAATATTTAGTGCAGCAATATTTTTATTACAATAACAATCTTTCTCTATCTCTCTCTCTCTCTCTCTATATAACAATCTCTCCTTATAACGATTAAAAATTCCCGGTCCCTTGCATATCGTTATAGAGAGAGAGGACTGTATTTGGAAATGGACATTTTACGTCATGGAAATCGTGGACTCAGATTAAGCTGGGTACAAGAACATGTGCAGTGGAGTTTACATGAATGGAGTTCTTTGTTATTCGCTGATGAAGCTAGGTTTTGTCTCTACCCTGATTAAAGAAGAGTGAAAGTTTGGAGAGGACCTGGTCGACAAGAGAGACTCAGGCATGTACAGGGTGTTCGTCCATATAGTAGTCTACTAGAAGTAGAACTGTTCCCGTTTTTGTAGAACACACTTTGAATCATCTCAATATATTGACCGTATCTTAGAAGCTGTTATCCTTCCGTTTTCGATTGCTGCAGGTCCATATTTGCGTTACGTGCATAATAATGCACGGCCACATACTGCAGCAATAGTAAGATATTGGTTTCATAATGAAAATATTACACTTTTACCAAGGCCAGCACAATTGCCAAATATTAATCTAATTGATCGTGTATCGGATAAGTATGCTTCAGATACAGATTTCTCCTCATCTGCACAATATTTGTACTAAACAAGGTCTCTTTTTAAAGAGAAATTGATCCTATTGCGTCAAAACGAAATTAATAATTTAATTTTAAGCATTCCGAGGAGCTGTCAAACTGTAATTAATGCTTCTGAGGGAAACACAGATTATTAAACACATTTTTTTATTGGATTTTATGTTTTATATTGACTTTTATAATAAAAATTGCAATTATATTAAATTAGTGCACTTTTTAACTTTTCTTTGATTATTTCATCATAAATATATAGTACTATTGATCATAGGATATGTCGAATAAGACCTAAAGGGAAGTTCACTAATATTAGCATTATTAGCATATCTGCTCCAACAGAAGAAAAAAAGGATAATGAAAAACACATGTTTTGAGGCACTAGGCCGAGGGTGTGATGGCTGATCAAAATAATAGCAGTGGACTTGTGTTTAAGTCAGAAGAGAGAATATATTTTCGCCCACCATCGAAAAGAGAGCCTACACGTAGACTCTAATGATAACGGTCTTAGAATCATAAACTTTGCGATGTCTAAGAACATGGTAATAGCTATGACACAATTTCCCTATAAAGATATAAATAAGGGAACTTGGAAATCTTCTGATAATTAAATGATTAACTAAATAGATCATATAATTATCGATTCAAGACACTGCTCTAACTTATTAGATGTTAGGTCTTTTAGAGGAGCAAACATAGATAGTGATCACTATTTAGTTAAAGCACGATTTAAAGAAGAATCTGCTCGAAAATGTATAAAAAAGTTGGTGCATCAACTTTTTGCATCAATCCGTCAACTTCTTCCTCTTAACATGCCATACACCAAAGTGCGTAGGCGACCTCTCCTACCTTCGATCTTCCCTTGTAGGATTAACTGTGGTATTTCATATTTTGCTCCTCTCAATATGTGCCCAAGGTAACCAATCTTGCGTTTTTTAATTAATTCAAAGAGTTCTCTTTCCACGCTGGCTCTATTAAGGACGTCATCGTTTCGAACTCTATCCACCCAAGGTATGCGCATCATTCTTCTCAATGACCACATTTCAAATGCTTCAAGTTTGTTGATAGATGTTTTTTTCAAAGTCCACGTTTCCATACCATAAAGCAAGATAGACCATATGACCACTTGACCATTCTGTAGCGTATTTCGAAGTTTAGGTGTTGATTACATAGGAGCGGTCTGAATTTCACAAAAGCTTGTCTTGCCACTTGTATTCGGGTTTTTATCTCGTGTTGTGGATCCGATTGGTCATTGATTGTGGTGCCAAGGTATTTAAAAGTTTTCACGCGATTTATACGATTGTCACCTATGCATATTATCGGATTTTCTGGAGGGTTTATGCTAATGACCATATATTTCGTTTTCAAAATGTTGATTTTGAGGCCATATTTTTTACCTATGCTATTCACCCTATCAAGTAATAACTGCTGATCTTCCAAATTATCAGTTATAATCACTGTGTCGTCGTGTCCTCTCTGTGTCGTCCGCATAGCGTAGGTACTTACAGTACCGTCAACTAACAGTACTTATATAGCAGAATTAATTGGTACCAGAAGAGTGGCTAAAAGGAATAATATGTCCCTTGCATAAAAAGGGTGATTAACTGGAGTGTAAGAACTGTAGAGGCATTACTCTGTTAGCATCTGCGTATAAAATCTTCGGCAATGTATTGTTTGAAGGACATTTTACAAAGGATATTGTTGGTCAATATCAATACAGATTTACTGCTGAAAAGTCAACCACACATCAAATTCAAGCACATACGCAGATTCTAGAAAAGTCACTAGAATATAAAATAGATACACACCATCTCTTCGTCGACTTTAAAGCAGCCTATGATAGTGTGAAAAGAACTGCATTATATAATGCAATGATAGACCTTGGGATTTCACCTAGATTAGTTAAGTTGACCCGACTAACAATGCA